TGATGACAAGGCACTGTAAGAGTCAGAAACTTCTGGACTGCTCGCACACACCTCGGCAGAGTGCAAAGCAGAACCCCTGGAAGAACACTTCAAATTTTTCTTTCTCTTTTCTTTCTTTCTTTTTTTCCTCTTTCTCTTTCTCTTTCTTTTTCTTTCTTCTTCTTTCTTTCTTTCTTTCTTTCTTTCTTTCTTTCTTTCTTTCTTTCTTTCTCTTTCTTTCTTTTTTTCTTTCTTTCTTCTTTCTCTCTCTCTTTCTTTCTCTCTGTTTCTCTTTCTTTCTCTGTCTCTTTCTTTCGCTCTTTCTGTCTCTCTCTCTATCTCTGTCTCTCTCTCTCTCTTTCTTTCTTTTCTTTTTTTGACCACCAGTGCTAGAGACCAAATTCAGGGCCTGGAGCACAATGGGCCTGGTCTCTACAACTGAGTTAAACTCAGATCCCAGTACACACAAATGATTTTAAGGATGCAGGTGAGAAATAAACAAAGGAACTCCTTAAAATTGTTTGTGTGTGCTAGGACCTGAGCAGTTTCGTATTCTCTTCTGGGCCCCTGGGAAGAATATTATTAAGGTTGGTCCTTAATAATATTCGAGACTGCTTAAGCTGGGGCTCTGCCATCAAAATACCCAAAGATGCCAAGATTCAGGGAATCACTACCCTGAGAACACAGAGATAATCTTCAAAACATTTGACTTTGGGGCTCTCCAGGAAATTGACATGTGACATAGGCAACTGATTCACAAATGAGCAAGAGAAAAGCTTGGACCCGAGTTCACCTAACGTTCATGGTCACGTAGGGTCACAAAGTGTTCTTCAAGAGTAGTTACCAATATCACTGCCACTGGCCTCAAGTTACTGTTCCCATTCTCGGGTCATCACGCGGTATCAGATGCTAGCAGCAGAGCCCAGACACATGTCCAAGCCCACCTTTCTGCCTTCCCTGAATGCTCCCTTACTGTTCCTCTGTTCCTAGGAAGGAGAGGCATCTAACACAGGGTTTCCAGAAAGACGGCTCTTTAGCACACCAGCAATTCCTTGCAGTACACTCAGTCCATGTCACTGTAAGAAGCTAACGACATTTCCACGTTTTGACACTGCTGGAATGTACAGAACGGCACTCTGCCATTCTCAAATGTTTTCTTAATCTTTCTAGAAATTACAGGTCTGGGAATTCCTTTGACACTTCTTCTTTCCTGAGCTATTATGTAACCCCCAAGCTCCAAATTGAAAGGAAAAAAAGAACAGTTCGTTGCACTCTGGTAAAGAAACCGTCTGTGTTAGACGCACTGAGGGACGGGCTGACATTCTTTAAGGCCAAATCATCCTGGAGGGCATTCCAAGGGCGCTTTAATAGAACATGATTTTAGAATTTAAGTGTAACATTGGGGGAAAGAATGCTACCGCTTTTCTCGGGTACATGGCACCAGTGTCCTCACACACTCTGGCAAACAGCTGTCCCCATACCAGGGTAAGGCTGATCTAGATTGTTCTATGACAAGAAAATGGATGCTAAAGTCACTTCATCACAATTGAGAATCATGATGCCTCCAAGACACTGACCTGGCATCCACAAGCTGGGCCACCTTACCTGAATACTATAGGAAACATATAGCTCCTTTCAGAAAGAAAGTCAACACATAGAAACACAGAGTTAAAGTTGGCTTGTAGAAAAGACCCCAGTGAATCTTCAGGAGGACTTCCGGGGAGAGGGAATGTTTTCTCTTTACAAAGGCTTGCTTAGAACAGTGTTTCTCAAGGAGCACAGTGCAGTCTCCTGAAGCATGTGCAAATTCACTGCTCAGCACAGTGTGGGACACAAACATAATCCTGACTGCGCACGTTCCCACTCTTTCTTTACACCTTTCTTTCCTTATCTTTCTCCTCTGCTCTTCCATTCTTTTTCTCTTCTATATTCTACAATGTAGGGAAATTAAAACCCTTGGTCTCAAATACAGCGGAGGAAAGGGAAAAAAAAAAAAAAACCCTAATAGGTTAAATGTCAAATGTTCTGAAATCCTCCATGTAATGAAAGCTCACTGTTTAAAGATACAAGGGCATCTTTTCCATTAGTACCTAAATAAATAGAAACCCATGAAAGTCAATGGAGACGCTGAATAGCCCTCCCTTGGCAATTATTCAGGCTATGGAAATATCCAACTCCCTGCAATCACTAATTAATTAGAGAAGATGACATTCTCCTTTACCATGGTTGAAAATGTGACAAAGAAGTCAAGAGTTTTTCTTCGAACTGATTAAAAGATGTCAAGAATGAACTCAGCCAAGAATTAGGAGCTCATTCCTGAGGGCAGAAATCGCATCCTTAAGCCAAACAGACTCAATGCAGAAAGAACAACGGCTTCTATGCACAGGTGCCATTGGATTGGGCAGCACTCTGCTCAGGGAGCATCTGCAAAGGGCCCGCTCTTCATCAGTGGATGCCCATCCTACAGACAGAAGATGCTATGGTGATTCACTGTTCTCTTCACCTTCCCACAGCACAGACAGACGGCTAAGTACCAACCTCGAACCACTCTCTTCCATGGAAAAGTACATGGAAAAGTACATGACCAGGTTTTCATTTTGAATTTGCGAATTAAATCTGATGGGAAAATACACGACACTGTTGAAAAACATGTATTTCAATTTCTTAAAAAGGAATATGCAATCTACCGACACCCCAAATCAGTAATGATGATGTAATTAGTCATTTTGAGCCACTGTCTTCTTCAAATAAGAAGCAAAAAAAAGTTTTACACCCTCTGTTGAGCTATATCCACATTTTCAAATTCTGAACTGGGATTTATAATATACAGCGTCAAAACGTGCCTTGCTTATAGATATACTTTGTTTTCTCTGATTCTTTAGTGGTCGAATAGCACCCTCAAAGGATTTTGACATTACCTCTTCCTTTAGGTAATGTCACTTAGTTATCCAGTAGGCCTCTATATATTAGGTGCAGACTGATAGACAACAGAAATCAACCTTAACGTGTCAAGTTCATACAGGTGGACATACATACAAATGCATATGTACTCTACATGCACACACAAACCATTCCTTTAAAAAGGTAGGTTTTGTGTTTGTTTTTAAATAAGATTTGAAGTGCACAGCAAAGTTGTCTGGTCCCAGCCTTTCTAAACACCACAGTAGATTCTTCATATATTGAGGTCTCAACTCTTGGTCTCTCTTGTTACACATGAAACTTGGAATTTTTGCTAGTCTGGTGGCCTGTCTGTCTCCCTTGGCCTTTGCCTCCCTAGTGCTGGGATTGTAGGAGGGCCACCATGCATACCTAGCTTTTAAGTGGGTTTGAAGAGTCAAAATGTGGTCCTCACACTTAATGCCCCTCACACTTGACCCACAAAGCTGCCTCCCCAGCACATGAAGAGCTTTCCTTTTTATTAGAAGGTTTCAGTCGTCTTCCAAAAGCCACTTCACCTTTCATTATGGCAGCCTTAGGAAAATGATCAAGGTTAGCCCACTTTGACATAAGGGTCATAGGGAGGCTTGCAGATTCCTCTAGCATATCACAGGCCCCTCTTGGAAAGCAGCATATACCTTTACGGAATCTGATACTTGCTTGGAGCACAATGATAGAAGAGCAATTTTCATGGAAGAGCAATGAGCTAGTGCTAATACATATCAGATAGGGCTCTTCTTTTTGCTCCCAAGTTGAATATGAGAATGATCTGCTGCAAAACTGGCAATCTGATCACAATGTGGAAATGATAGAAATACAGTCTACTCTTCTCCTTGACCCACAACTTCGAGTTCCCATTCAGCTTGAAGGTAAAGGCGCTGGAATCCTGGCATCTTCTCAGTTCTCACTGAATGGAAAGGAGGGTGTGGTTCTAACCCAGAGACTGAAAGCTGGTTCAGTTTCTTCATTTCACCCCCTTCATAGTAGTGCTCATTGGTTATTTTCATGATGGGAGGGAACTTGTGTTGTCCCAGGTCTAAGGGGAAACCCAAGTTATGATGAGTAGGGAGTACAGTAAATACAATAATATACAATAATATAACTACAGTTATAACTTATGTAGTCAGAAGTAGTAACTTGGCCTACTGAATTTAAAAGCAATCTATATACAGTACTACTAACTCTAACAATTGAAGAGAACCATCATTCACAAAGGATTTTCAATTTTTTTATTTAATTTTTATTTTCAAGACAGGCTTTCTCTGTTTAGTCCTTGCTGTTCTGGACCTCACTTGTAGACCAGGCTGGTCTCGAACTTAATGGAGTTAAAGACTGAAAGGTAAGACTCTTCCCAGAGAATATGTGATCTGAAAAACAAGGGCCAATGACAGGCCCTATGATCTAGGCTTCTTCTGGAAGGAAAGGAGACCATATCTGCAGGTATACCTATAAATCTGCAGTATGCCCATATCTGCAGGTATACCTATAAATCTGCAGGTATGCCCATGTCTGCAGGCCTTGGCTACTTGTTTGACCCTTGCAGTCACTGTGGTACCAATGTTGCTTGAATTCTTACCACCTTAACATGGCCTTTGCCTGTCAGTAGCTCAAATGATTGCCCTGGACACCTCTCACCTAGAGATCCGGGAATCCCTTGTCCCTGACAAACCATGAGATATTGGAATCGGATCCAGGTTCTATGCAAGAGCAACATGTTTGAAGACACTTCTGCACTTTCCAGAAAGGATGCTGTAATGCACAGAATGTAATCGCTGGAAGATGAATTACTTTTGTGTTACCTCTCCCAGATCAGATTTTCCTGACATACTGTGTTCATTCAGCTTTTGTGGAAGATAATCCTTCATTACTGAGCAATTAGTGGCACTGGATGTTAAGCAGGAACTGTACTGGTACTGTGCAAACAGGACCACACTCACCTTTTCTGCTTCACTGTTTTTCTCCAGGGTGGCACCTGCTAATAGGAAGAGGAGCACATGCGCGTCTGTCTTTAGTGCTGCTCTCTAGGGAAGGTAGACTAGGCAGGTATTTCCCTTTTCCTATTGCTAGGTTAGTCAGTTTCTTACCTTTGGCTGCACTGGTGGTGCACAGGGGGCTGACACAGGGTCTGTGATATAGGTCTTCTTAGGACCACTGGCTGGATACATCCCGGAAGGGTTCTGATTCCCAGCTCCAGGAGCAGGATACCCTGGTTCCCGCTTCCAGGTATTTGGGTGAACCTGTTGTCCATAAGAAGGATCCGCATCATTTCTGGCCCCGTAACCAGGCCCTGCTGCATAATAGGGTTCATAATATCGTCCTTGGTTGGAGGTGTACCCATATCCCGGCTCAGGCTGATGTCCCGGGGGTGGGATGTATGCATAGTCGGTACCAGCACGAGCGGAGGGAGGAGGACCCTGTCCCAACAGAGGAACTGGCTGGGTGTTATAGCCATGAGGCCCTGGACCATACATCTGTCCAGCAGATGGGCCAGCCGTGTAATGTGGGCTGGGCTGGGCTGACTTCACTTGCACGTTGAAGGTGGGCCTTGAAGGTGTAGAGGCTGTCGTGTAGGAGGCTGGAACTGGCTGAGGCTGTGGTTTGAGAGTTCCAATGGGAGCCACTGGGATGGGTGCGGCCTGGGGGGCAGGCTGTGGTTTCACGGCCGACTTCTTGGTGGCCGTCAGAGGGGGCTGGTTGGGAATGACCATTCTCTTATGTCCTGTGACTGGAGTAGCAGTTGGAGGAGTGGCCGTTACACTAGTAGAGCCCTGAAAGAGAAGAGAAACGTGATGAAGAAGAGCAGCAATCCAAGAAGATAATCCACAGATGGGCACCGGGAGTGTGGCGAACTATTTCGTACCAAGGTATCATAGACAAGTAAGGCGTGGTCCCTCCCTTCAGGAGCTCACTAGCTGAGACATCAGTCATTGTGCACAGCACCAGTGAACAATGGAACAAAAAGCTAAAGGGGCAGCTGCTTTTACAGTAGCGTCAAGAAGAACAGGACACCCGGAATAAGCTCAACTATTTACTGACTGGAAATGGAAACAGTGACGAGAATGATTACATAAATAAAGTTTTAATAATTCGAGTCTGGAGTGATGCCTATCAAAACGTGGAAATAGAACAGTTACCTATTTCAAGCACAGATGGAAACAGAAAAGACCACAAACAGCCAAACCAGTCTTGGAAAGGAGGAGCCAAGATAAATTCATCGCATTGCTGATTTCAAAATATTTTGCAAATTTTAATAAAACAATGTCCCAACAACACAGAGAGACATAAGTTAGAAGGAGCAGGAGAGGTAGTCTGGAAGTAAACAAACACATATAAAGTTCACTTATTTCCTACATGAGTGCCAAGTACCAACACAGGAGGAGGCACAGTGTCGTATACAAATTGTGTGGAAATACTGGGTTTCAACAATCCAGGAAGCAAATCAGAGGCTGCTCTTACATCACCAACTCAAGATGCTTCTAAAGAGGGAAGCGCTCTAGGAAAGAACACAGCTATAAAGCTTAGGAGAACAGCTTTGACGACGGCTGAATGGATATACCACCAGAAGTACAGGCAACAGAAACAAAAAATGACATCATCTTGAAAATCTCCACACAGCGAAAACAACAGTGAAAGGCAAGTCGTGAATGGGATCCCATATCCAGTAAGGGGCTAACCACCAAGGAAGCTACGAAAGCCTTCCAGCACAGAAGTCAAGCGAGACCAAGAGGGGCTTAAGAGACTAGGTTCTTGGGATCCTCATGCCTGCTCGCAATCATCCATAACTCCAGTTCCAGGGAGTCTGATACACTCTTCTGGCATCCATGGACACCAGGAAAACACATGGTATACACGTATACATGCAGACAAATGTTCATAAAAAATAATACAAAGGAACTTTTAAAAGGCAAGCTTACGATTTGAAAAATAACAACAAAAATACTTCTCTAAAAGGCACACAATAGACAACACATTAAAATTGCTCAAAATCACTAATAACAGAGAAATGCAAACAAAATCCAAAAGAGGAGTCACATCTTTGTCAGGATCATTGTTATTAGGCAAAGCAAACTGGCAAACTAGTATTGGCAAGAAGGACCAGGGTCCCTACACACTGCTGTTGGGAAGGCACAGTGTCAGAGCTGACAGGAAACACAGTAGGGAAGTTCTTGAAAATATTAAAATGGAACAAACATATGGCCTGGCAATTTCCCTTACTGGTACATATCCAGTATTACTGGAATGTAGATCTCAGAGAGAGAGCAGCATTTCCATATTCATTGCAGCACTATTTACAATAACAAGAAAACTGAGATGTCCATCAACAGATGAAGGATAAAGAAAGTGTGTGTACAATGAAATTTTATGTGTTCCTCAAAAAGCACATCCTTCACATGTCAACATGGATGAACCTCGAAGACATTGGAGTATAAAAAATGAGCCAGTTACAGAGAGACAAATATTGCATGATTTTATCACATGAAGTGTTGAAAATAGTTAACACTCACAAAAGCCAAGCATAGGGATGATAGTGGAGGAAGGGCTGGTGTTTTAGTCAGGGTTACTAGTGCTGTGATGAAACACCAAGACCAAAATCAAGTTGGGGAGGAAGGGGATTATTTGGCTTATGCTTCCACATCACTGTTCATCACTGAAGGAAGTCAGGGCAGGAACTGAAGCAAGGCAGGAGCCTGGAGGCAGGAGCTGATGCAGAGGCCATGGAGGGGTGCTGCTTACTGGTTTGCTCAGCCTGCTTTTTGTAGCACTGAGGATCACCAGACCAGGGATGGCACCATCACCAACGGGCTGTCCCCTCCCGCATGAAACGCTAATTAAGAAAAGAGGTTTGCTGACAACACGCTCTTGTGGAGGCATTTTGCCCAGTGGAGACCTCCTCCTCCTCTCATATGACTCTAGCTTGTGTCAAGCACTCATAAAACCAACCAGCACAGCCAGGGAATATTTAGTAGGGAGTTCCCAATCAATTGATCTGTTCTCAGTTAAGCGATCTAAGCTGTGAAGGTCCACTCTTTGACAGTTCCCTCGCCATCATCAATACTGTTATTGTGCAAGGAGAGAGTTGTCAGAAGTGAAGGGAAAACACAAAGCTATCCAGACATGCCCGAAAGAGAAGGTGAGGTCCTGCTCCTAAGAGCTGGCAGGTAGGAACCCCACATCTTCTTGTCTCATGTGCACAGTAATTCTCACTTGTGTTCCAGGGTGAAGAATGCTACCTCAGCCCCCACATTAGCACAACGGAGCTTCATTAATATACACCAGGGGAGCTTGGAAAACGAATGGCAGAGAATGTAGCACATAAAAAGATTCAACTCCCAGAAAAAAAATCACACATACATGTATGTATAGATGAGTGTGATATTTAAATGTGCTCGATTTTCAAAACGAAAATGTTAAATTATGACAAAAATTCAAGAATTCATACAAAATCAAAAATAAAATAAAATGTCAAAATATATTCTTGGAACCACCAAATAATCCAATAAACAGAAAATATTCGGCAGCATGACTCTTCAATTAACTGATTATGTGGACCAGATAAGCATTGGCACCGATTACTTTAACTATGAGGAACATAAATACATACACTTTAAAATAATGATTCCTGCTCTTTTCCCTTTCACATCCAATCAGATAAAATATGTAAATCTTTGGAGGAAAACTGTATACACCAAAATATACTAGTTTTAAAGACACTTGCGATAAAAATATCCAAACACGTGCCAGCATACACGCAACAGAACACAGAGCAGAGAAAGGGAGCATGGGAAAGCTGGCCTAGCGAATGCTTTTCCTTTTTGGTAGGTAGCAAAGTAATGGGTTTCATTTGGCATTCTCATACATTACTCTTTTGGGTGCCCCCCCCCATTTCCTATTCACTCTGATGTCGGACACATGCTGTTATTACCCTCTTCTCCCCTTTTCCTCAAACCTTCCTCTCTTCCCTCTCAGCCCCTTTCCAGCTCTAGGACCTGTACCCACATTCACACCTGCACACATGCAAATACACATAAGAATCCAAAGTGAGGTTCTGCATATAGGAGAGATCATGTAGTATTTTAGATATGCATGCAATGGCTCTGAAGATGGGCTCTGAAACGGTCAGGGAATTTGTGGGGACGGAGAGAGAGGGTGACTGGACTTATCAAAAAGAAAATTTGTGAAACACTGTTTCTAAGAAGTGAGGGCTGCGTTATTTCACTGTTTAAATGCAATTATGGTTGGCATTAGTTTTCAATGGGGGTGGCTTCAAGCATCTGTCCTAAGGCCACGTTTACAACTGCAATGGAGGACGTGACTTCTACTAGGCCAGTTCCGCAGTCACCGCATGCATTTATACTTGAGTCTGTAAGATGTTCAAAGTCTGGACTCCACATTTTTGCTCCTGCTGAATCATCAAAGAAATCAAAGCTGATCCCCTCTGCAATCTGTTGCACCTCTCTGACATGTTAATGATTGACATTATTGACTAGGAAAAACAGTCTAACTTTATGATTTCTCTAGGTTCAGTTTACTTTTCCATGAGGTCTGTTACAGAGTGTCAAGGTCTTATCTGGGTCCTTCTTTATGAAGTCTTCAGTACACATATTTTTAAAATATACTGTTTAATTAAACACAACACACACACACACACACACACACACACACACACACACGCAAGCATGTGTAAAATTAAACAAAAATTCTGCATTCAATAGAATCCTGTAGGGAACCAAATCACGAACTTAAAATTTAATCTTGTATCTTAGAATTACAAGTTCCTCCAGGAAACGACACTTGAGAAAAATGATATATTGGAAAGATAGCCTTAGGAATCAGGATCCCCCAAAACATAACCAAAGAAAAATAACAAGGACATGTTCAAGCTAGTTATTCTTGAAGAAATGATACATACAAGCATGATGTATAGGCTCACTGTGGTGAGCCATCAGGGTCAGAAGAGTGACCTGCAACCTGGACTGAGACAGCCATCATCTCCTCCAGACTGGAGAGGACTAGTTGTGAGTGGCAAAGGGGTGTAGTTATTTCATCACAAAGAAGGGAGAGCTGTAGAAGAGAAAACTCAGCGAGACCCAGGCACCATCCCTGACAGACAGGTAGAAAGTCCAGTCAATAAGCCAGAGGAAGCTGTGTGGTAAAAGAGCTACTGGCATCTCTCAAGGAGCATTACCATCACCCTGGGCTGACAACGCATCTGTTGGCTTCTGGCTCACTCAGTGTTGACAGTGGCTTATAATAATCATGTAGTCAAAAAGTCTCTATTAATCTCCAATCTCGCCCCTGGTCAGTAAGTGCCGTCATTCCAGCCGAGAAGCACTGGCAATAAGATGCTAATCTACTACCCAACGGGAACACTTTCATCTTCATCTCTTGTTTAGTCTAAGTGTACAAAAAGGTACATGCCTGGATTAAACTGGGTTTCATACCATTACAAATTATTTTCTAATCTTTACATAGAATTAAGGGCCCTCGATCCCCCACGTGACCTCTTTCCCCTACATTCTCTCTTCAGGTCCACGTCTAGAGCTTGAAACACGATCAATATCACAAAAATTCTCAACAGCTTCTGTCTCTAGGGTTCACCTGTATTCTGAACCCTGGCCTCACATGCTCAATTGATTACTTCATCTACTGACTTGAATGTCTTGCATGTTTTTCAGATTTAACAAATTAAAAACCTTCCATACCCCCTACACCTGCTTCATTCTAGTTTTCTTTTTTCTTATTTTTTGAGAGAGGGTTTCTCTGTGTA